ATAACAAGATTATGAACGCAAGATAGAAATGTATCGAAGGGAAAACACTAACTGCAAAGAAACCGATTCGGAAGTGCTTTCCTATGTTGTTTTTAAGTTATGTGTTTATTTTTGTTGATGTCTTTATGTGTATAAAATAAAAATTAAAAAAAAATTATAACCTAAACCAGTGTTTTTTTAGCCTGTCAATTTTAAGATGGGTGGACTTCAACTCCCAGAATTTCCCCAGATAGGTTGGGAAATGGGGAATTATGGGAGTTGAAGTCCACACCTCTTAAAGTTGACAGGTTCAAAAAACATTGAATTGATCTAAACAGCAATCATACACAGCCTGGATCTTGACTTAATTCCTTCTTGGAGGAACTTAACTCATTCTGAATTTATTTATTGTTTAGAGAGAGTGAGTGGATGTATGGAATATATTTTATAGGCAAAGGTAATTAATTTTTAGCTATTTCTGCCTCTCAGCCATTTGTGCCCAATGACATTTTTGCCTGAATATGGGGAAATAATCTGTGAAAGGTGGCATTGGGAACTGTACAGGGAAGGGACCGAATGAGAAAAAGGCGTCTTCCACCATTCCTTCATCTTCCACTGGAGGATGGAAAAATGTGGACTCAGCCTTTGGGATTAAGCAGGTGAGTTTTCTGTTTTCTGCAATGTTTGCATAATACCCCTGGAAGCAAATGATGAAGCAATACATCAAAACTAACCAAAGACATTGTAAGACAACTCTCAAAAATGAACCCAAAGATGAAAATATTTGAAATATATAAAAAACATTAAAATGGCCTGTAAGGAAAAATGAGCCTGGATTCAGTTTTGAAGTTTTATTATTACTGAGGCCTCTGCTGAAAGACTACAAAAATCCATAAAGCTGAAAAGCATGGTGTGGCTTGCCATTGAGACTCATCAGCCAGACCAAAGCAATGTTCCTGGGTAAATGGCCGGCTGAAGCTAGGAAGTTTTAGTAGAGGAGCCTTATACTTTGGTACAAGCAAGAAAGCTTTCCTAACACATACAGGAAAAAATCATACATATATTTATCAAATCTATATGTTGGCTGACCCGAAAGGCTGTGTACATGTTCAGAGGCTTTTCATCTTTTCATTTCTTAAATAGGATTTTGCACATTGTGAGAGATTTTTATCCTTAGATTGAAATAAACAGAAGAAGTTGGACCTACAGACATCATAAGGAACCAGGAGTCAGGGCTACTAATATAGCCCTATTTCTTAGCTGAGGTTTTTAAATAACAAAGAAGCAATGAAGACACCAATAAGTAGCAATAGCACTTAAGGCTTATATTTACAGCCCTCTCTAAGCGGTTTACAGAGTCAGCATATTGCCCTCAACAATCTGGAGCCTCATTTTACTCACTTTGGAAAGAAGGAAGGCTGAGTCAAGATTGAGCCTGGTGAGATTTGAACTGCCAAATTGCAGGCAACCAGCAGTCAGCAGAAGTCATCTGCAGTACTGCACTCTAACCACAGTGCCACCGCAGCTCATAAGTAGAAGTAACATTCCAAACTTTTCCCTAATTTGAGCTAACTTGCAATTGCTGATTGAAAGAAATCCTTATTTTAGTAACAGCGAGCCATACGATATGGCAGATGTATTGGGCAATTTTGACTAGGCAAATGATGTTGTGCTTATTATTGTTGTGATAATGAGACAATATTTTTTAGCTTCAGTGGACAAATGAGAGGACTGACAATGTCACATACTGCTCCAAATAAAACCTATGCTAAGGAAACATGTTTGTGTTATTTAAGACGATTCCATTTTATTACAATGGTAGTGCCTCTAAGATCAAGATAGTTACTACTGCATTAGAAGCTATTGGACACCAAAGATGCAATGGTTTGATATGGGCATAGTTTAATCACTGCAGAACCAATTGTAAACGAGTCTCCGTAGCTCAACAAGACTATGCAAGTCCTGAGATTTCAAAGCGTAGCTCCTAGACTGAAGAATCAATTTACATTGCAAATATCAGGAACAGGTGGAATATGGATCCCTAATGTTTTACAAACCGAACTCAAAGTATGGGGGGGGGGGGACAAATAGACTGAAGGAAAAACAAGATTATTTTTTTTCTTGTTTAAGGCCATGCTTCAGAGCGTATTTCAAAGAGAATAAGCATTCCCAGGATAATGTTATATCATAACAATTTTTATTACAGAAGGAAAGACAGAGGAGGAAGATAAGCAAGAGCAAAAACATAGCTTTTGCAAACTTTGAAAAACTCAAGTGTTCGGATCTTATTTTCAAATTCACACAAATATTAACTAGAAAAAAGACAGTTGTAACTGTGTCACACCAAGACTGCAAATTCCTACACACAGTCCTACATATTAGGAATTAAACTATAGAACAAAACCATGAAACCATGTTTCTGAATAAATGTGCAGCAGATCAATTTTTATTGTAATTATACTTTCAGAAATCTCAAAATATGAGCTCCAATCTTTTAGAATCTTGTTAATATTATGTCTAATCAAACGTCAATATTGCATTCAAAATCATCTTTCTGTTGCTTATAATAGCAGCTGTGCTATACCCTCCATTTTCAAATATATTTCATAGCTGTATTTTTCTTTGCATTATCTCTTGAAGGGTAAAATACACAAAGTCGTCTAGTTCAATTAAAAATTTACCATTCAGGAAATCAAATACATGCACTAAAACAAAAGATTAATGCTAAAACAATTCTGCATTCACATATTATTTTCTAAAACAATCAGAATATTATTAACAATTACTGCCTCATGAATAAAGCTATTCCATCTGAAATAGTTTTGGAAAATCGAACTTACCGGTACTGCCAGCCTGTTACAAGATTTGTATATTTCATTAAATAGCCAGAAATGTTTTCCATGTGATCACTGTGGCAAATATAAGAACAGAGTTCATCAGCTATAGGCAAATAACAACAATTGAAATATCTCACATAGATGTTGCGTAATTTCATATTTGCTAGAGTAATAGAAGACTTCGTAACTCAGCACAAATGTCTAACGACTTTTAAAACAGAAATTCCTGCAAGCTCTTGCTCCTTGTTTGTCTTTGCAGAAATGATTTAGAACTGAGATGCTTTAAATAATCTACCAATGTGAAAACTGGGACCCACATTACTGATGCATAAACTACTGGAATCAGTAATAAATTATGGGACACCTCTTGTTTATAAAGCTTCAATATTAAAGATTAAATTACTAAATACCCTTCAGCTTTCTAACCTCAAGGAAAGGTTTTTGGGCTCTTTAAGTATTATTCATTATGAAAATGGAAGTTGATTAAGGTTAAAAGAATACCTTTAAAATTGAACTATACAAATAAATCACTGGCCACTATTAATTAAGGAAAAGTACATTTAAAATTTTGAAACGATACACACTTTTTGGACTCCTAAGTATCTATCATAATTCATTAACATCATTGAAGAATTTTATTTTGCTTTGTGTGCCACATCTAGCTTTTCTTGGGATACCAATCTGTTTTTTAATATGAAAAAGCCCTTAGTTTTAAAGCATTTAATGCAAAAAAAAATAATTCCAGTTTTCAATCACCTTTATTTATTTCCAAAAACGTCTTTTCCATCATCAATAAAAAATAAAAATAGTGTCTCGCTTTGTGTATGGCCACTTAAATAGAAATTAAGCAGAACTACAGGAAAATATAGTAAGAAAAAATATATTAAGCAATACATAGTGAGGACATTTATGCACCTGTGCTTTATACGGTAACTGTTACAATTCCCCTTTAAAGCCATTTTATAAATGTGCGAATTCTCCCTACCGAACAAATTTCCAAATGCAACCAGCAGCCAAAACGAGTAACTAAAATAGGTACCAATAACTGGCATTTATTATGTTACTTAGTTTGGGTAATGAAACGTCTGCAAGAAAACAACCAAGCTCAGAGAACACCAAGGACCCCTCACTAAAATATGTGCATCACAGAGCAGACCTACTCCATATTATGTATGTCCTCTTATATGATGGATGCACAGCATCCATCTTTCCACTGTTTCATAGAAATTAAATTAAAGTCTCCCTCAAACAAAGTTTGTCCCCTTCTGGATAGCAATAGAGAAGTGGTTTGCCATTCTAGTTCAAAGTCAGTTAGATGCTGCCATCTAGTGGAATAGCAATTATTAACAATCACAAGGAGCCATCAACAAGCGGAAGGAAAGAAAGATAGGTGTCCCTGAAAATTTTTCACACACACTTCAAAATGCATAAAATTAATTTTTGTCCAGTAGACCACAAAGAACAAATATTTCTGCATCACATTCAAGAAGCTTTACAGGCAGCAGAGCATTCCTCTAGGAAATTGAGGGCATGACTACATTTTTAAGTTCCACAAGTAGAATTTGGGGCCTTACATAAAGAGGGGATTTCAAAGAATTAAAGCCAATCCCAGAAATCACTTAAGCCCCTTATTAGTTCATAACACATTAGCACTCCTAGTAGAGCTATACCTGAAGGAAATCAGAAGCTACAAATGAGTCTTGCAAATCTGAATTATCATTATTTCCTGCTCTAAGTAAAGTACCTTAAATGGTCAAAGAAACTATTCCAGCCAAGAGGTTTATTCATGTCACCACATCTAGATATCAACAGTGAATTATATAAAATTGTTTTAAAGTTTAATAAATAGCTATGAATGGAGATACCGTATTTTACCAAACTTTTCAAGAAAATAAATCAATACAATTGGAAACTGGCCTCCTAAATAAGCAACTGCAGTAATTACCTGAAAATGCCTGCTAAATATCAATTTAACCTATTTTTCATTCAGAAGTCTATGTCACAGACCTGTCTCAGAATAATGTACAATGTACGTGAATAACTGAAAGGCATGAAAGGATTCAGAAATATGACTCATTTTAAGTTACTTAATAATGAAGAAATACATCAAACCTTTCTTGAATAACCCAAATGATAGAATCCAGATACCTAGGATTGTTCTCCAAGGAGGCAGTAGGAGCCTCTTTGTCACAATTTCTGAAAGCATATCTGAAACTATATATTTATTTTTGGTTATCTTCTCCCCATATACAACATCTTTTTACCTAATAATGTCTTTGAATTCACCGATTGATTGTTGATTGTGCACCTATTCTATTTTCAGACCAAAATAATTCATGTGGAAAGTGAGAAATGTATGAATGATGAAGAAGACCAAATTAATTGCCTATGCTCAGAAGAATGAAAGTGATATATTTATATATCATAAATCTGGAAGCAGGTGATAATGTATTTGTGGCAGAAAACTATGGAGGAATTAGGAAGGAGGAGCTGCTCTGATTTTTTTTTTCTCCATAGAATAATCCTGAGATGAAAGCAAATTTTGCCTGCTGCAGGAATAATTTAATGTCAGTACTGTAAACAATTTTAAGAAATTATGCTTTTAAAACTTTTGTGGTCATGAAACAAACTGCTTGGCTGAAATCTGAATTTTGGTTCAAAATCATTTCTTATGTCAAAGCTCATTCGTACCAGTACTGACATCAGGGCTGAAAAACTGTAAAAATGATACTACATTTGCTAATGTACACAGTTAATTCCATTTAAACACATAAATGGCTTTCATAATCAGCTATGCAGGACTTTCACTTAATTAAAATCCTACACAGAATCCTCCACAGAAGACAAAGAGCCACGTCTACAGACTCAAATGTGATTAAATTCAAATCCTGATTAAAATACAGTAGAATTAGTTTCAGAGGCTAATTTATTTATTTATATGTACACCCACCATAAACATCCTGACTCTGGGTGGCTTACAATATCCAAAATAACTAAAAACAAACACTGCAATTTAAATGAAAGCACCTTTAATTGGCAAGTAATTGGCAAGCAGGAACCTGCAAGTGTTAAGCCTCCTAGGGACATCATCCCAGCCTCAGTACCCAAAGAAACCTCCAGGTTGTTAATGTTTTAGTAATGCCATCAGATTTGAGCCCACACATTTGGAGGGAGGGGATCATTCCAGAGGACAGGCCCCACCACAAAAAGAGGCAATCACTGTCTTTGAATTTCAATTATTTCTGTAGAATGCAAAGAATTCTTATTTCAGGGGAATCAAATTATTCAGTATTTTATCATACATTTTATAAACAATTATTTTTGTTCACTGAATGCTTAATTCCTTTGATGTCTCCTGTATTATATGAGCCATGGAGGTACAGAGCTAAAATTAGATTTTCCCCAAAAAATACCCTATTAAGAACAACACCCAAATAATTACAGAAGCATTTCAACCAATAAATTGTCAGAACTGAAATCTAATGAAACTAGAGGAGGAAGGACCTCATTGATTGGCAGCTTTCCTGTTGATGTCACAATGCATCCTACTAACCAACTATAAGCTAATTTCAGAGAAGTAGCACAGAAAAATTAGCAGAACTGGAAAGAAGAGCCAGCAGAGAGGATTCAACCATGTTGCCTCAACACAAAACAACCAGGTGAGTATTCTTAAAGAGGAAGAAAAGAAGAACCTCCATATAGTAATATTGTGGCATAGGCTATCAGGAACTTGTATCTATCTAAAGTCTTAAACTCTTCATCATAAAAGTTGGATCATACTTAAGATCATTATCATAGTTTTTATTTCTCAGTTATCAGCTGATCTACTTGCAAATAGGAAGCTGATCTAAAGGTTGTAAAATTTTATGCAGTGTATAAATAGGATAGCATTTTATTCCTTAATCTAGAGCCGAGGTAGCGAAGTGGTTAGGGTGCAGTATTGCAGGCCACTTCAGGTGAGTGCTATCTGCAGTTCAGCGGTTCTAATCTCACCGGCTCAAGTTTGACTCAGCCTTCCATCCTTTCGAGGTGGGTGAAATGAGGACCCAGACTGTGGGGGCAATATGCTGACTCTGTAAACCGCTTAGAGAGGGCTGAAAGACCTATGAAGCGGTATATAAGTCTAACTGCTATTGCTATGTCCTTCAAATATTCTGAGTTAGAATGCTTATCATTCCTTGGCACTGTCAATTTTGCTTTGGCTGACAGGAGTTGTAGTTCCATCAGACAGCGTGCCCAGTCTTATCCTGGAAAGGAATGTAGAGATAACCTTGGTGATGGAATGTATAAGCCTGCCTTGATTCGGATATAAAATGGGGCACCTAAAACTCTGACAAGCTTTAAAGATTCTTGTTATAACCTGCAATAAAAATGTAGCAGTTGATTCCTGGAATCCTTGCAGTGCTTAGGATTTCCTGACCTTGTCTACTTCAAAAGGGTAACATCCATTTGGAAAGCCTCTCAAAGTTTTTATCTTACACCAATCAGAATCAAAATGGGGTCATTTTGAGTCTCTCCCCCCCCCCCATGCTCTCCACTTTCCTCAGACTGAATTACCATTTCTCAAGCCTTAATGGCTCATCCATTCCTTTATCAAAGTCATATCTACATTCCTTTGCATTCCTATACCAACTTCTATTGACCAAATAAATCAGAAATACAATGATGCTATATTAATATTTGGAAAATGAAATACCTCCAAAAATAATCACGGAAACAAATAAAGATAATAATTTGCAGAGATGAGATCTGACAGGAGCTTTTCTGAATCAACATTGGAACACAGCACGGTACACAGGGTAAATTGTACAAATAAAAAAAGCAGACGTGGAGAAAGTCTAGCTATTTTTAAAAGCATAAAAGAAAGAAAGCTATCGCAAATTATATATACAAATCACCTTACTCATCAAAAGATCAAAAGCTCTCAATTTAATGGATTCTTTGGCAAAACTTCAAAAGTTCAATCGGCATCAGTCCAGTTATTAATACATGCACAATCCTATGCACTGGGTAACAACATAACAATGTGTACACAGTGCCCTGCAGGATTTGACCCCCCGGGCCCATCTAGT